ATATAATTTTAAAATAATAATTCTTTAAAAATAAATATAGTTAAATAATTCTTATATTTTAATTAGTATTAACTCTTAGATAATTTTAAATAGTTTGAATAAAATTAATAATTTAATTATGTAAATATTTATATAATATATTTGAACTAATTTAGAAATTAATTTTGATTTTAATATATTAATTTAAATATTTTAATAAGAAAAATAAATATTTTAAGTATTTTAGTAATTATTATTTCTAATTTATATTAATATTAATAATTAATTTTTCTAATTATTATGAATTAAATCAAATAAAATTAAATTAAAATTTTTTAATTATTTAGATTAAATAAATTAAAATTTTAATTTTATTTAATATAAATTATTAAATTTAAGATATTATTATTTAAATTTTTCAAATTTTTTAAATTAAATTATTATTATTATATAAATTATATAAGTTATATTTATTTATAAAATATTTGATTAAAATTAAGATAAAATTTATATAATAAATAATTTAATTAATAAACTTTGAAATTCAATTTCTTTATAAAATTATTAATTTGATCTTTATGAAATTTAAAATACATTTTTATTATATCTAAGATAATCTGCTTATATAAATTAAAGTTCTAATATTATAAATTGATAATAATAATACTTAAAATATATTTTTTAAATAATAAAAATAATATAAAAAGTTAACTATTCTTATTTAATATGGTATGAGAAATCTTAACTCATTAATAAATTATATAATATTTAAAAATTATTAGAATCTTTAATAAATTAAATTTTAAAAAAACAGATCAATAATAATATTATTTAAGATATATACTATTGAACTACTGATCAGAATTTTAATTTAAGTTTTAAATAAAAAGCTATAAGCATTCTAAATTGAATATTTATTAAATGTTTTGGTCAAAATCAAAATATATCATGTGATTTTCTATTATGTGAAGCTTATTTTATTGGTTAATAATATACTGCACTTGAATAATTTTTATTAGTTTAATATTAGATCTAGGCCCCTAAAAAAAATTAATTATATCTAAATATTTTAAGAAACACCCACTTAATTAGCATTTATGCTAACTTTAGCAAATAATAAAAATTATATGCATTTGCTACATTATTGATTGCATTATATGACATGCTATGTTACACATCATTGCTTATATCATTGACTGCATTATATAATACATTCCATACACAAAATTGAAACAAATTCACGTGATTCGTGAGTTAAGATTTCCTCCACCATATAAAAAATTATAAAAATTGGTTAAAATTTGAATGAATTTTATTAGAAGCAATTATTAATTTTTATTTTGAGATATGAATATTTTGGCCTATATAAATATAAATATAAAAATCTTGTTGCTTTAAAATTAAAGTTAATATTTCAAAGATTGAAGTTAATTCAAAAATTAACAAAAAGAATTTTGAAAATATTAAATTTTAAATATATACTGGGATAAATGCAATAATTTCAAGTTATATACTCATATCGGCTCAATGTAAATTATTGCAAAGATTTTCAGATCTTCTGGTATCGGATTAGTTTTGCTTTAAAATAGTTCGTCATAAATGTAAACCTTTATTGGTGCAGCCAGCAAATCTTGTGAGGTAAATTAGTAAACCCGAAAGGGTAGATCATGTGTTTTTAAGGGAAGATCGAATTTTTGTCTATGAAACCCACCAACAAAAAAATGTTGCTTGCGAAGTTTTATTATTAAAAATCCGTGCAATATAACTTTAACTCCGAGTCTAACCCTTAACCTCACCGTAATTGAAATGCTATTTTTCCTATCTTGCGATTTGATTGGTTTGCCCTTAAAAAATCACCTGATCAGCCCTATTTTCTACTATTTACAGGGCTTTCATTAAAAATTTCTTTACATATTAAATTTCTTTGCTTACATCTTTATGAATTAATTGATATAAAATTAATTTTTGTTGGATTAACTGTTGCAATTGCTGGATTTGTTGTTATTGCTATCGTTGCTATTTTCTTATATTTTGTTTGCCGCCGCTGTTAGTTTGTTACTTTATTCGTGAAGTTCCCGTGTTAGCTGAGGAGTTGATACTTTCATTCCGTTTATATATAGTCGGTCATGTCTACTTACGTAATTACAAATATAATTGCGCAATGTTTTATATGTTGACGCGTGGGCGCAATCTTAATAAAACAATAGATGAAATACTATATAATGTGTGTAAAAAATTTTAAGCAAGAAATAATGACATATCACGGCGAGATATTAGGTTACCGTTTCATTCACGCGTCAAAATGTAACAACGAATTAATTAAGGCTGCATTGTTAAAACAAACGAAGGGAATTTCTGTGAGTTTTCTATTTAAGACCAATTATATTATTATTCAAATTTTTGTCTTGTTAGATGCCGCGTTTCTTTCGACCGATTTCGAGGTAAAAACGTAACAAAATTTATCCATCCGATATAATGATAACATTGATTTAAGGTCGTATTTGAAAAATTCTAACCAACCTTTAGTAATGTGTAATATTTTTATTTAAATTGACAAATATTTATTGCTTACAATTTTTTATTACAGTTGTCGTTATGTGCAGTATTAAGATAGTCCACGCAACCTGATAAATAAAACATTACAAAATTATTGTTCACACGCAAACATTGGTACTGATAAAAGTTTCTTGAACTTTCTATTGTAATTACATTAGCATGCGTGGCCAAGTACCTATAAAATGGAATCCTAAAAATTCTTATTTTCTAAAAATAACCTTACATAACAACCTCAACTGTTGCTGCAGATACAACAACTATTTAGCACTGCTGCAGCAACGCAACTTAGTTAATAATTATCAAAACAATAAATTCGCTTTCGATAACTTGCAATTGTAATTAGTGGCATGCTGTACGTTGCGATATGTTCTCCTTTCAAAGTTCTCGCAGTAAATGCAACTAAAAATTACAATAAATCCGGTAATTCTGGATGAATTGATTATTACGTAATCTTGATTACTTAACATGTATTAATCACATGAGCATCTCTGAATTTTTGATTTAATAACATATCCGTTGGCCAATAAAAAATACGTGTTTGATCAGGCTAGCGCTATCATATTTCTCATGGAATAAGTTGTGAATCTTTTAACAAACAAGGCAAATAAAAATAGAACATATATAAACAGAAGACAAAGAAAAAACGAAAAGTTCTTGTTGGAACGCATTAGGAAAGTGCTCAATCGAGAACATGGTTCAAGTTTTTAAGTTTATTCTATTGATAAACATTTTCATATTACGGCTTTGAACTAACGTTGAACTTGCAAAACAAAAAAATGCAGAATATAGTTTGTTTCATTATAAACACAATAATTTTATTCAATGAATATAACAATACAATAATACAATAAATAACTGTTCTAATTATGTAAATTACGGAAAAACAGGTTTCTAAGGATTTAATTAATTATTATTGAAGCAATAAAACGTGTTTTTGGCGTTTTTTTAAACAAGAATTTCCAGAAGAGAAATTAGTCTTTAGTTATTCCGGAAGATAAACTTTACCATCTAATCTTGATTCGGTTTCCAGTGATAATAAGGAAAATAATGAAGCTTTTACGCATATGATAAATCTATCTAAAGAAAAGAGACAAAGAAATTATCATACATGTTTTAATATGCAAACATTTTGATGTATTATTTATTGAATATATTGATTATTTTATAGAGGAATGAATCGTGGTGATAATTGTGCATGCATGTACTATATGCAATTCAAGGTACAATATCAAAAATAATATATTATTTGATTTGATTTGATTTTATTAATTTTTATTGTATATTTTTGATGTCAAATTTATCAGCTAATTAGATAGTAATTACAAACTCATTTTGAAAAATTCATGCATACCGGTTTGTACTAATGAAATAATTATAGATAATTGCATCTCTCTAGAAAGATCATGTCGTTCCTTATTTGTGTGAAATAAACCTTATTTTCTTTGTGAAATAGCAATTCTATTAACCGAATACGTAATAATTCACAGTGCACCAATTATTATGCTGTAGATTCGATCTAAACTTTATAATTTTTGTTTGTAGTTACAAGTCGTCCACATGTGAATCATTATTATTATTCAAAAAACTGTAGATGCAGAAATATTTTGTGATTTTTTTGCAAATAGAGAAAGAAATCATGCAATGAGTAAGACAGAAATTAGTTTACAAATCATTCTTTGGAAATTTAAAAAAGCAATTCTCTCGATTACATTTTGATGCTTCTAATCAAAAAATTTTGTTGGTTGTTGCCTTCGACAGTGAATAACGAAAAATAAATTATCTTCTACTAACAGAAATATTTATCTCCTAATAAGTGATCTTTTGATTGGTTCGGGTGAAAGTTTGAGTAAACTTCGATCAATGATTGTTTTGACAAAAAAATTTATTTGAACTACAATGGTATACCTAGTTTAGACGTCATGGGTTCAAGCATAATAGACTCTTCCAAATACATGTAAATGTATGTAGCGTGCGAATTTGTGTTCTCAAAGTCTATTTACTTAGCTTTGTCGCACAAATGAAATTTAAATTATACAGTCTTCTATTTCATCTATTCTATCCCTTTTAATTGGTCTTCTAACATTTCATTTGCTTGTTCACTTTTGATCGGGCAGATATTAATTTTTTAATGGTATTCTAATTTTGTCTTTTATCGTGTGTGCAATCCATAATATGTTTTTTCACGTAAAGACAGCAATAATAACCGTTCTTTCGTAAAAACACACACGCACATGTACACAGCCAAGTTGAAATAAAAATGAATCGAGAACAGCATCAAGTCCTGTCAAAAAATTTGATTCAATAAATGCCACACATATTTATGCAAGAACATTTGTTGGATCGTGTATCCAATTTCTCAAGATAATATGACAAATTTATATTATATGCTTATACATTACTATACGGAATAAAAATTTATATTATGCACTCTATTCAACGAAAATAAGCATAGCACGGGGCATAACATGCGTTGCTTTGCTGCCGTTGTTGTACCAATGAGAATTTATCGTACTGATTTACGCAAAACATACAATAATGAACAAATTTATTCCGTGATTCCTTCTTTTACCTGGAAACCAACAAATGTATAGAATAGAATAAATTTACAATACTTTATATTGTAGATTGATCTCTTTTAATAGTTTGGTGCTATAAAAAGGGGATATCGAACGACCTGTTATTTTTGACCCATCACTCAAATTCAGCGGTGCTATCTTGTGAAAATTTACACACACAAACATTCTCATTAGATCCGAGATACACTTAACAATTGCGTCTCCATCCACATCTATTCTTTTTATCATTATAAAAATTCAATTTCCAAACAACAAATAAAAACCGACAAAAACGACACTTGAAGCTTTAGTTTGATCTTCTTTTATTATTGTTCTCTCATCATTGCGTAAACCAAAAGAAACCATTGTCGTCAATTTTCTTTCCTATATAAAAGAAAACCAGTAAATAATGAACGACGAAGTAAAAAGAAAATATTGTCATCTTTTGATGTTTGACATCGTTAATCGTCAACATGAGCAAAAAAACAATGGCAACAATTACGATCCCCCACTAAATAATGCAAATGAGCATATTTCCGGCATTTATCAAGTCACCAATAACCACGATTATAAAGAAATACCGGCTCAATTATGCGCACCTTTTACGTATAATAATAAATTGATAAATCACAATTACTCGTACCCGCAAATCAATTCTAACGCTAATAATGCGTGTGAAAACCCATCTGGATCCTCAGCTACGATTTCTCCTTCCGAGCACCCAACCAATGCCATAATCGGTAGTAATGGATATTTTAATAGACAGCTGTCATCATGCATCTCACCCTCAGCTATCCTTGCTAATCATGGGAATGGTTCGGATGGTGCTAAAGTATCGAAAAAACTCAATATCCCTAAAAAAACAAAACCAACCATACGAAAATCCAAAACAAAACGCACTAAAAGAACACCACGTCCTCCCAATGCATTTATTCTTTATCGGAAAAATAAGCAACAGGACGTCGTTGCATTGAATAAAACTTTAACCAATGCAGAAGTATCAAAGGTGATTAGTAAATTATGGTGGAAAGAGACGGAGGAAGAACGATTTAAATGGGAAAAGGTGGCGGACAGAATTAAACTGCAGCACATGCAATTACATCCGGATTACGTCTATCAACCCAGAACCAAAAAAAAAAAATCGACGAAAAATGTAAAGAATGTAGTATCTTCTAATAATAATCTTCCGGCAAACACGTCTGTCGCAAGGAATTCGAAGCAAATGGCTACATCGGCATTGAAAGATGATGACGTTTTGTCTGCTATTGCTGAAACGGCATTCGCTGGGTCAAAAGCGTCATCGATGACAGCATCTTCTAATAATGATAATAGTAACAACAATTTACCATTAAATATACCCATCGAATTAAATTCTTCTTATCAACTGAGCTATCCACCTCCAAATACCCCAACTACTCCACTATATGAAACTATGAATTCTTCTAACACCCAAAATAACATTATATTCTCAAATTATAATTTTCAACAATATGCAAATGTTGTTGACCCTATTCTTGATTCCCCAAATTTTCTACAACAATCGAGATCTAATGCTAATTCATATACAGGATATATAAGTCCAACTGCTTTGGATAATTTTTTAGATGAATCTCAATCGAATAGGTATCTTATGTTTAAACCACATCATCACTATAATAATCAACATCATCATCAACATACCGATACGCAACAAGAATATCTTTTAAATCCTGGCAATTGTTCGACCCCAAATGAAAGTGCTGCCTCGGACATAAACGACGGAGGCAATTGCATAATTGCTAGCCAAAATGAAGGCGGAGGAACTAATAATGCTTGGCTGGTTGATGTTGAGAGTTATTTGGGAGAACCTGAAACTTCTTCCGAATATCTCGAAACTGAATTGTCGAGATGTAGCAGTGTTAGTTAGTTTGTAATTCTTCTCAAATTATATTAATTTTCTTTTTATCCCAGTTAACACTGCCAAGTAAATTTTATGAAGTAGCTAAGAAAATTAAGCTTTATTTTTTTTATTTTAAACTTGCAATACAAAAAATTGAGTGGAATATATGCTCGCAAATATACCATTTGTAAATAGTCTTTTAATTGGCGTCAAGCATATTTTGAGAATTTTACATTATCTCATTTTTTTGAGATGTGAGAAACTTTTGTTGGAGAATCACGTATCAATTCTTGAAACCAGTCTCAAAATATGTGTGATTGTTTTATTATCATTATACTTTTTAATCTCCCTAAAAAAAATATAGATTTTTCACATATAGACATTATATTCACTGAACTATTTCTTTATTTCTATATAGATTAACCAAAGTTTTCGCAAAAATTCTTAAAGTATTTACATTCTTTTTTTTTCAAAATGAATTTATCATGAAATTTAGCTTAATTGAGAAATAAATCTTCCTTTATTTTTTTGGTTTAAACAAAAATACGTATAAAAAGTTGTGTTTTTCAAAATTTATATTAACGTTATCGTTACATGTATTATTATCATCTTTGCGGCCCCATATATGGTCAGAGCCATGTCATGTGTGCCACTACATATCATTAAGGAGTCAATTTAATGTTTTTAATGCGTGATTGCAAGTACATGTGCATGTACATGTACATGTAAAACGAAAATTGAATAAGTTTTATTTACCGTATGTAAATTTAATTATTCAATTCAAAATTAATAATTAATTTGGATTTATTTATGAATTACAATACATGTATATCATTCTCAAATATTTAGAAGGCGTAACTGCAGTGCTTATGTATTATTAATACCGTATTATATTTACAGCACAATACAGTAAATTTATCTTTCGCAAGAATATAAAATATACTCCACCGGATAGAGGCGTAATGCGATAAAACGAAATTTTTTATACATTTACTGTTAATTTTGTTAGTAATATCACTTCATTATGGCTTTTTATTCACCAACCAGTTTTTTACATTAATATGTACACATATTGCCACTTTAGGAGCTAAGATTTTTTTTGTATTTGAATGTAATTAAAAAATTAAATTTACCAATTTTTTTCTATGCAATCATCTACGTATGACTTATAACAGTTGCAAAAAAATCAAACTTTCCTTTAAGAAAATGGAAAGCCTAACATATGGCGCAGTAAACAGAAGTATTATCATGCTAATTTAACAAAAATTATATAATAATCCTTGAAGATTCCTTTTGAAGACACAGAAAATTATATGTAAATTTGCCAATCATTTTATAGTCTGAAAATAATTATTATACATGTAACTGGTTTTATATACATGTATATATAAAAATATTTACTATGCTTCAGCTTAATAAAAATCAACAGGATTTTCTATTACAGTAATTTTTCAACTTCTGTAATTTATTAAATCATTCTGCATTTTATTTAAATTTTGCAAGCTTCTATTAATAAATTATATTTAATTATAGTTTTGTTTAAGCAATTATTTTAGTCTGAATAATATGAAATAATTTAAAAATTTTTTTACATAAATATACTAAAATTTTATAGATAAAGATAAGTATTATTGAAAATATAAATAAAGTAAAGAAGTTGATTACATATTATATTAAAAGCTATCATATAATAATTCTATTTATTTTCATGTAATCTCCTATTTTTATGCATCTAATATCTCAAATTTTAAATTATAAAAATTTATTTAGACTATTAAAGTAAATATATAGTGGAGGACAAAAGTATCTGAATAGTTATCACATCTCACATAAATAATTAAAAAATTTTTTATTAAAACATATGACCAACTGAGTATATTAATATATAGTATAATCATTATTCAAATCTATAAGTTAAATAATATAATGTTTCATACTATCTACCAATTTCACAGCTAGCTCAGATAAGAGATCATTCCATTCTTTCATGAGTTTTCCCTTTAAATCTTTAACAATCTGAATTTTTTTCTTTTGTATATTTATCTTTAATAACTGTTACAAGTTTTCTATAGGATTTTGATCTGAAAATATTAATGATCAGGAAAGTATCTTGATACTATTCTTCTTCTTTTATTTTCTTGCAATTTTCAAATAATATTTAGGATTATTATCTTCTTGCATCGGTAAATTTGATAGATATCAGATCAGTAATGATCAGTAAATATGCTGATCATTGCTAATTTTTTAATTATACCAATCCAAAATCTGCGCAGAACTCTGAAAATAGAAATTTTGGAGAAGTGTAATCTGAAGAAACTGTAATGATAAGCATAATTACAGATCATTACAGTTCTTTGGACAGAAATTAAATA